CGTATGTGTGTGTATGTGTGTGTGTGTGTGTGTGTGTGTGTGTGTGCATCAGTGCGCGCGTGCATGTGAGTGCATCTGCCATTGTAATATCAGTATTATCAAAGCTTGGTGTTCTGTGTGACTACTAATTATACGAAATACTGGTGAAATTATGAAACGTAGTTATTATTTTAAAATTCATGAACATGAATAAATATGTACATCATAAACACACATGTATAATGCTTATAGCTCTAACACAATGATGCTTTGAAACAACACTAACTATAACGTACGAGACAATAATATTTGACGTTACATAAATAGAACGAATATTTATTTAACATAGCATAATCTAGCAGCAAAATAATTATTTACACCGGTAACAACAATATAAGAATAGTATGTTTTTTGCACATGGCACATTGCAAGTAAGGGTACACGCGCGTACGCGCACAAAATGACCTGCTAACAGGAATGTGTGAACTATACACATAGCTATCAGTGAATTGTTTAGATACAAGTCAATAATGATACAAGACGTCAGTCGGAATCTAACAATAATAAATATTGACTCATCCAGAAATAATTAGAACGACTTCTATAGCCAAAAATGACAAAAATATCGTTTATAACATTTCATACAGTGGTCTGTAAACCGTATCGACTCAACTGGAAAACGCTGGTTTACATGTGAGATGTTGCATTTTATGTACAGCAGGATAATTAGTAAGAATTGAGTTATATCTCCTTTACATAAATATACGATCGATGCCCGATGCAGTTGTGTTGTGTTAACGACATTGAACCTCATCCGTAATAATGATGTTTGCCGATATGACCTTTAACTCTAGAATTGACCAAGTGCACCTTATGTTTAGACATAATTACGCGATAAATTTCTAAAGAATTTACTGTACAACACGCACGCCTTTGCCTCTGCTATACTGTATATAGTGATTTGGTGTTCTTCGTCTTAACATATTTCCTCATCGCTACACAACGCTTCCCATTCCTTCCTCGACGCGTTTTATATTCAGGCTCTCTGATATTATATGCTTCGCGGTTTACTATCGGCGTGATTGAAGATTTCCCATAATCCCTGGCTTCCTTCCCGGAAAGCTCAATATCGCCATTGTTCGTTTCATATTCTCAATAATCGTTTTCATATTCCCATTATGCATGGTTTCACATTATGCCCATATTATAAATCAAATCTTTACGCTATGAGATTCGTATCGCGCTGCCCCCGCAAATAATATATCTATATCTATCCCTATCTCTCACTCTCTCTGTCTCTCTCGCTTTCTCTCTCTTTCTCTCCTTCTCTCGCTCTCTCTCTCCCTCTCTATCTCTATCGTGCTCTCTCTTTCTTTCTCGCTCTCTTTTTCGCGCGCCCTCTCTTTCTCTTTCCCTTTCTCGCGTGCTCTCTCTATTTCTCTTGCGCGCTCTCTCTCTCTATATATATAGATAGACAGATAGATAGATAGATAGATAGATAGATAGATAGAGAGAGAGAGAGAAAGAAAGAAAGAGCGAGAGAGAGGGGGGAGAGTATAAGTCGCCATCACACACCATCCTCCACTACAGAGTTAACATGGTTGTCCAGATTAATCACGACCTTCCTGTCGTTTCTGTGTTTGGAATTGTTCTCTCCATTAGATGGTTCCGCGGCCAACGCTGCCTGTGTCATCGCTGACAGTTTGTAGGTGAGATGCGGATTTCCTGATTTCATGTTTCGGGACTTTAAGACTTCCAGCTGCATGTAAAGGCGCTTGAATTCTTCCTATAATATGAAGCGATGAGTATTTCGACGATGCGGCTTATAAATAGTAATCTAGTCGCAGACACGATCTAACGTAGAAACGAACAAATTTACGAATACGCACGCACGACCAAACACACACTTCTTCTTGATACAATGCATGTACAGGCAAGTTATGCTCCCACTATCACGAGTGTACATGGCGTGTTATGTCCCATGCATTACCAAGTGCGACGGTTATGTCCCATGGCAATATGACATGCACTAATAATCCCAATGGCATATACACCCTGCTATCATCCCGTCACACATCAATTAATCGATCACTAGCAGTTTATGTCCCATGCTATCACATGACTAGTTAATGTCGCTCCATGGCCTTTATCTATTGGACATGTCTACTGTCCAAATTAGCACATTAAAGTCGAGGATGTAGCCGATATGATCGGCCTTAGCCGATGCATCTACAGGCAAGTTATAGTCTGCCATGCCCCAATTAAACCCTGCTCAATCATCATCCCATGGCATTACATGTCACGTTATCGTCCGCACGTGCATTCACACTGCAGTTAGGTTTCCATGCTGCGCTCTCATCGCACAACCAGTAAACCGATTGTCACGCATGCCGACGTTGACTGGTCACCACGAGTGGGATAGTAACAAGCTGTGATTGCCAGGGGCGGGCAGACGGCCTCTCTAACCCCGCGCCCGACGTGGTGCACTACTATGAGAGTATCCCGTATCGAAGCCGTACGGTTCAAAGTAAAGTCTGCTTCACCACCGTGATGGCGCGTAATGTATAATAGGGTGACACTTATATATTGAAAAGAGATGAAAGCTCTCGACAGAGATGAAGGTAGGCGGAGATAAGATAGGCCGAGAGATGAGAGAGCGACTAATCTGAGTATAGCGTAGAGAGAGGCGTAATAATGAGAGAGAGATGAGCGTAGATAGCGTATTGGAGCGTAATGATATATATATATATACTATATAGTATAATGTTGAGCATTGAACACCTGCAGAGCGAATCATCTATCGAGCGAATGACCCGAAGGAGAACGGAGGCCGCGAGGAGTAGAGGCGTGAGGCACGGCAGGTAAACGTGTTAGCGCGAGAGTCTTCGAGTGATAGACGGCCCAGACACCGCACGAGAGAAGTTGTATGCTATGTGAGAGCGAGTAGAGAACGACGCTGTATCTAATGATATGACGAGAGCTCATAAGAGAAATCAGAGAAGAGAGAAATACGCCATGAGCGCGCGAGAGGAGGCGAAAGAGAGACTGCACGGCGAAGAGAGAGGCGAGAGAAGCGGGAGCGATTGAGAGAAGGTTGTACGCTAAGTGACCTTAAACGTTTCTTGACGACTGCGAGTGTTAGGCAGAGCGAGAGAATTATCCGCCGTGAAGTCACAAGAGAATAGGACGAGCAGTATGCGTCAGACGAAGCTGACCTAGCTAACGCGCACTTGACGCAAGACAGCGAGACATCATTGGAGAAAGAGTCTTTGTGATTTCGCGCGAGAAGCGAAAAAAACTGGGTTCGTGAATGATCGCGATGCGTATACAATTCGAGAGTGCAGTAGACTTTGTCTTATCGCGCCGATAATGAACGTGCAGAGATCGAAAAAATTGGTACGTATCACACCGGCCCTTGTCGCGTAAGCTGGAATATTAGGAGCCTGCTTTAGGGTTTTGTGCATAGGACATCGAATACTGGCCAAACTTAGCCAATAGCCAATACAGCAAGTTTCCAATATCCTATGGCAATACAGCAAGCAGACCAGGCTGACCCATAATTACTGGGAGTGTGTGACGTTAGGCCTCAGACTCATCCCTCGTGGCGAAATCAAAGAAACAGTCCTACACGTCAAAATACCTATGTAATTGCGATACGCATGAATACGCCATTGTATATGTAATACACCGCGTGAAATTATATAGTCGAAAGACCCACCTAGCTCACGTGCCCCATTAAGTGTTGGGCAGTCCGTAAGCCTAAAACGCTAATTAGCATGAGAAATGATTCATTCGATTTCTCTCTCAATAGGCGCCATCATTTTCCACTCCCTCATATAAGAAACACAGGCGCTGTGGGCTGCGCGGGCAGGTACGCTGCCGGCGAACCCACTCCGCCCTCCGCAGGCGCGTTGAGACGGCGACGACGAGCCACATGCGAGCCCGATAAGCGACAGGTCAATGAAGGAGCCCAAAATTAATTCTTGTCTAACTTAGTGGGAATCACGTACGCGACGGCGCGTGCGCAG